TTGTTTGATATTTAAAATATGTTTTATGTCATTTTTCGCAATTACAAAAATATTTTAAAAATTAATTTTTTTAAGATATGAAGATTTGAATTTTGAAATTTGAAAAATTTGTATACCAAAAACTCTTATTTTAACTCAATAGATACGTTTATACAGCATTTTAAATGTGTTCATTTTTGATTTTTTTTTAATTTTCCTATGGTATCAAATGTTAGTCCATATTATGTAAAGTACGGAAGTAAACACTATTTAATTATGTTATTTACTGGTAACACCAGGCACGTAGCCAGAAAATGTTTATTGGAGGGGCCAACAATTTTGGGCCCTTGTATCATTTTCCATAATTTGTTTACCATAAAAAGCTTGTGGGGGGTCCCTATATATATATAATAAAATAGTACATTATGTTAGCTTTAATTTAAGATATAGATAAATGTGTCAGACTTTCCGGAACGTTTTAAAAATTTAAGTGAAAAAAGTTAATTTTTTTTGAAAAAGTTGTCATTTTAAATCCCCCCCGTGGGCAGGTAAAGGGTCAGATTTATAAAAAAAATATATCAAATGAAAAGTAACGATATCATATAACTATATAAAAAAGTTATGGCAATTTTTGAGGGTAATGTCTTCGACTAGATACGATTTGTGATCTTTTGATGTATTACTGAAAGAAATGGGTTCTGAGAGCTGAGAAAAAGTGGTAACAGACACAAAAAAAAAACACATCATAGTAAAAATAATACCTTCTCAGCTTTGCATCGAAACTAATAAAATAACGATGTGAACATAAGCTGATTTAATTTTTCAACTTTTATTTTTAACTTTTAAGCTATTAAGAAAAAATAATTTATTCCTAAATACTAATAACAATCAAGTTATATAAAATTTTAAAATAAATATAAATTATAAACAATGTAAAATTTATTTTATTTAAAATTAAAAACAATTCCTGCCTTTTTTTAGTCATATTTTAATTACTATTATTTAGAGCACGCAAATAACAAATTAACAAAAACAAATAAATTACCTATTGTAACTACTAAATTATAAAAAAAACCCAGCACAGGGGGGCCGCGGCATAGTTGGATCAAGTATAATGATATCTGACAGTGATTAAAATCACTATCAAAATAAAACGCTTCGATGCAAATCTTTAAATAGTGTTTAATTTTAAAAAAATTGGTGTATTATTCCAAAAGCTTCATAAACTGCTAGTTCCTTATTAATATCCTGATTAAGATAAAGTATGTCGAATGAAAAAGAGATTATTAAAAAATAGTATTTCCCATAAAAAAATTATATTGATCAATACACTTTTCAATAAGTTATAGCATTATAAAGTTAAAAATGTAAAAAATAAAATTGAGAATTTTCACACAATAATAGCATTTGGTAGCCATTTTCACCGTGAAGATAAAATAAAATCCAAAATTTTTTTTTCACAATAAAGTATATTACATTAGCTTTAATTTAAGATATATATAAAAGTGTCAGACTTTCCGGAACGTTTTAAAAATTTAAGTGAAAAAAGTTAATTTTTTTTGAAAAAGTTGTCATTTTAAATCCCCCCCGTGGGCAGGTAAAGGGTCAGATTTATAAAAAAAATATATCAAATGAAAAGTAACGATATCATATAACTATATAAAAAAGTTATGGCAATTTTTGAGGGTAATGTCTTCGACTAGATACGATTTGTGATCTTTTGATGTATTACTGAAAGAAATGGGTTCTGAGAGCTGAGAAAAAGTGGTAACAGACACAAAAAAAAAACACATCATAGTAAAAATAATACCTTCTCAGCTTTGCATCGAAACTAATAAAATAACGATGTGAACATAAGCTGATTTAATTTTTCAACTTTTATTTTTAACTTTTAAGCTATTAAGAAAAAATAATTTATTCCTAAATACTAATAACAATCAAGTTATATAAAATTTTAAAATAAATATAAATTATAAACAATGTAAAATTTATTTTATTTAAAATTAAAAACAATTCCTGCCTTTTTTTAATCATATTTTAATTACTATTATTTAGAGCACGCAAATAACAAATTAACAAAAACAAATAAATTACCTATTGTAACTACTAAATTATAAAAAAAACCCAGCACAGGGGGGCCGCGGCATAGTTGGATCAAGTATAATGATATCTGACAGTGATTAAAATCACTATCAAAATAAAACGCTTCGATGCAAATCTTTAAATAGTGTTTAATTTTAAAAAAATTGGTGTATTATTCCAAAAGCTTCATAAACTGCTAGTTCCTTATTAATATCCTGATTAAGATAAAGTATGTCGAATGAAAAAGAGATTATTAAAAAATAGTATTTCCCATAAAAAAATTATATTGATCAATACACTTTTCAATAAGTTATAGCATTATAAAGTTAAAAATATAAAAAAGAATTTTTTTACAAAAATCGTATTTTTTTTATTAAGTTTAATGTCTGTTTTCACCATGAAGATAAAATAAAGTCCGAAATTTTTTTTTTTCACAATAAAGTATATTACATTAGCTTTAATTTAAGATATATATAAAAGTGTCAGACCTTCCGGAACTCTTTCAAAAGTTAAGTTGAAAAAATTGTCATTTTGAATCCCCCCCCTGTAGGCAGGTAAAAAGTCAGATTTATAAAAACAATATACCAAATGATAGGTAAAGATATCATGCATCTACAAAAAAAAAGAATTATATTGATCCATACATCTTTCAAAAAGTTATAGCATTATAAAGTTAAAAATATAAAAAAGAATTTTTTTACAAAAATCGTATTTTTTTTATTAAGTTTAATGTCTGTTTTCACCATGAAGATAAAATAAAGTCCAAAAGTTTTTTTTTTCATGATAAAGTATTTTACATTAACTTTAATTTAAGATATATATAAAAGTGTCAGACCATCCGGAACACTTTCAAAAGTTAAGTTGAAAAAATTCATTTTTTGTAAAAGGTTGTCATTTTAAATCCCCCCCTTTGGGCAGGTAAAAAGTCAGATTTATAAAAATAATATACCAAATGATAGGTAATGACATCATGCATCTATAAAAAAAAATTATATTGATATGTTTATTTTTAAAAAAGTTACAGCAGTTTTTAGTAAAAAAAATTGAAAAAATTTCGAAAATTAGCCATTTTTAAATTTGTAATTTTTTCGGAGGTTTCCCCCATTTACGGGGAACGAGGGAAATTTTTTCAATTTTTAGGAGTAATATCTTCGACTAGATACGATTTGTGATCTTTTGAGGTATCATTGAAAGAAATCGGTTCGGTGAGAGCTGAGAAAAAGTGGTAACAGACACAAAAAAAAAAACACATCTTAGTAAAACCAATACCTTCTCAGCTTCGCATCGAAGCTAAAAGAAACAAATTAAAGATATGATTTATCAAAAAATTTTTCATAGAGTATACTCTATCGAATTTTGTAATCAAATAGATTCTAATCAATGCAGATACTTGGTAGTTTGTTATCATTTGTTAGACCAGAGTTAAAAAAAATTTACCTACAACCACGTTTGGAGTAATTGCTATTCCATTTATTATTACGTCTAGAACATTATCTTTTTCAAATAACGTTTTCTATGAATATAAAAATGAAAATACAGCCATAATAATAACTGTATTACTCAATAGTAATCACAAATTAATAATAATTTCAATGTATATAAGGCCTAGCACGTTTTTAATAATTCGTAAAAATAATTGAATTTTAAATTTGGGGGGGCCAGCTCTGGGCTACATTAAATTTAAGGGGGGCCAGGCCCACCCAGGCCCACCCTTGTCTACGTGCCTGGGTAACACTACTCGATTTCTTTTCTTTGGATAATAATAACGTTTAAGGCGCTTTTTACAGAAATTATTATCTTTAATCTTTATTACTAAAGTTATAAACATTGTATATTAACTACAAGTGCAAGTTTAATCAAGTTAAAAGGGATAACAATTATTCATTTGCGTGATTCTATTATTGATATCATATTATAATAGGAAATTTCTTGTTAGGTGATTTGATAATAAATGCACTTATTCACTATTATTCATGTTTACATTTATGAAACATGAACCTATTCAATTAAAAACTCAACATGTTTTTATAACTTTTTTTAATAAACTCAATTTTACTACTTTTTGTTTTTTCATATTAATTACTAATGCTTATTTAAATGGTAATAATTTCATGGAAAAGAAATCGCTTACTGTTATCAGTAAATAATGTAATAAGTGTTAACTTCAGTACTTTATATAATATGGATTAACTTTTGATACCATGAATAATTGTAAAAAAAAATACAATTTTAACAAACTTCAAAATGCCGTATAAACGTAACTAATGAATTAAAATAAAAGTTTTTGGTATCAAAATTTTTCTTTAAAATGGCTATCTTCAAATCTTAAAAAAAAATTTATTTAAAAAATTTATTTTTTAAATATTTTTTTTAATTGCGAAAAATAACATAAAACATATTTTAAATATAGCTTTATATTGTAAAAGTTTATTAAAAAAAAACCCAACCCAGCACAGGGGGGTCACAGCACATTGGTGACGTGGCATAGTTGGATCAAGTATAATGATATCTAACAGTGATTAAAATCACTATAAAAAAAACGCTTCGATGCAAATCTTTAGATAAAGTTATCTTTGGATAGATAAAGTTTAATATTAAAAAATTGGTGGATTATTCCAAAAGCTACATGACATGCTAGTTCCTTATTAATATCCTGATTAAGATAAAGTATGTCGCATGAAAAAGGAATTATTAAAAAATATTATTTCTCATAAAAAAATTGTGTTGAGCCATACACTTTTCAATAAGTTATAACATTATTGGACGGCTTTTCTTCAGTTAGTCTCTGACTGCATTTATACTTTACCCTTATTGAAAATCTATAACACGTCTCTAAAGGAGTTCAATTTAAGAAAAATATCTAGTTTTACCAATGACCATGATAATACTTAAATTAAGTAGAATAAACTCAATTTCTAAAAATATATAAAATACTATACCACTTCAATAATTTCATCTCCGATATAACAGTGATAAGCTAAAATTATCATCCAGAATATTGATTCACTTATACATTTTAAGGTATAACCAAAAGACGTATCTACCTTTATAAACATAACAATGAGTTAATAAACTTCATTTATAGTAATGGTTAAATTCAGAACTTGAAAACGTGTTTAAAATGTTATAGTTAAAAGTCGAAAAACGGAAACTTTAACTATATTGATAATATAATAATAATTGATCACTTGTGGCTAATATTTTTTTAAATTAAAAATATATTTAAAAAAAATTAGATTAAAACCTAAAAACAAAAAATATTTAACTCAAAAATCCACAAAAATTACTAAAATAAATCACGGATATGTAATTCGGGAACAATGTCACCATTATCAAACTATCAAAGTATACGTACTGACACTCCAACCAAAAAATAATACAAAAAATAAATTTCCTTATTAATTCAATCACCCAATGACGTTATCATCTAGGGACATTATCACTTGATGATGTTGTCAACTAATAGATTGTCACATGTTGACAGTTTACACAAGTTTAATAATGAATTTTTCAGTAGGTCAAGATTAACTTTATAAAAATTAATTTCATATATAATTAACTTCTTTATAATTATTTACTATTTCAATAAGTTTTGTGGTTTTAATAGAATTACTATGAGTCAAAATATGTTTGCATTGTATTTTATAAATATAATATACATTATTTGAATGTTTTAATAAATGTTATGTAGGACAAAAATAAGAAACGTAGGGTCAGTTTTAAGAAATATTTTTGAAAAATCAAAAACCAAGAAGTTAAATCTCCTATAGTTGAACATTCAGTGACACAAATACGCTTACTAAGAGTCTAGTCTATAAGGGAATATTTTTTTATCGGGATGTGAGTATGTATTTAGCGTTAATAATGATAATATTGTTCCCGAGTTACGTATCAACGTTTTTTAGTAATTTTTGCAGTTATTTGAATTAAATATTTTTTTATGTTTTTTAAGTTTTAAATTAATACTATAAATATATTTCTAGAGGTAGAGGAAAACCAAAATGAGATGAAAGGATGTTATTGAATGCGATACAAGGATGGCTGATACGTGCGTAGATGATGTGGGAAATCGTGTAAAGTGACCACAAATAATTGGAGTAAAGGCAAGAATTAAAAAATATATTGACAATCATTGATTATTAATATATTTAAAGTTTTCGGCATATTTTATTAGATACGTAATCAATAATTAATATTTTACATTATTATACAGAGTGATCGATATATCATAAATTATTCGATTATTTCCAAAATAAATAAAATATAGAGGAAAAAAATTTGATTTCCTTTAGTTACATATATTTCTTAATTCATCAGCTAATAATTAATTTTTAGAATTTTCCCTTATAAGGGACTATTATAAGGTTACAAATTTTAATTAAGGGTTCTAGGTAAAAAACAATTAATAATTATATTTTCCTTTCATACACTTCATCGGACATAGATAAAAATATGATAATAAAATTTGAAGTACTGGTCCAAAAACAGATATCGACCATTCATTATCTTAATTAGATTATTTTCTATTTTATGAGCTAATTAAATCTGTATGTTGGCATTTAAAAAAGTAAAAGTTGATACCCTTTTTATGTTATGAGGGATGATTCTTAAAAGTAATTATTATCTGATAAATCATGAAATTTATACAACTAAAAGAAATAAAATTTTTTTTTTCCAAATTTGTATTTATTTTGAGTGTAATAAGTGTATTATAATAATCTGATTACCCTATATAGCCAAATTAAAACGTTTATAATATTTATAATACTATACGGATTTAAGGTGTGTACAACAACGTTAACGAAAAATGATTTTTTTTTTTCAAAGTCATGCTTAAATCATTAAATGGACATTTCACAAATTGAAAAAATAAAATAAATTTCTAACTCTTCTTATCACTAATTTAAATCTATAGTCAGCGGCAAAAACTGGGAGGAAGATCCAAGAAATTCTTGAATTCCTCAATATAATTTTTTGACCAACCAGAGAACAAATTATTCTTGCTCACTGCATAATAATGAAAAAATTTCATACATGCAATTATGATGTTGACATAAATGTTCCGATTGTTCCATCAATTGTAGAGGATCTAAGGTATTAATGTATTGATTACATTCATTTTCAAATAAAACTGTTTTTAAAATAAGAAATTTATTGATATAATTATAAAAAACAATAATCAATAGCACCGACAGTTTCAAAAGTGAATCATTTTGAATTTTCCTTTTTGAAATTATATATAAGAACTGAATATGTTATTTATAAAAATGTTAATTTAATAATAAATGAGAATTTCACCTTTGCCTCCAATACTTAATAAATTTAATGCTCATAGCTCATTGGTATTAAGAATAAATATATACTATAGCATATAGACAGAAATTTTAAAAAATAACGTTATAAAATAGTATTTTTTTTACCATAACAATATATAGTTAATTAACTAATTAAAAACAAAAATGTTATAAATTATTATTTTTTTATTTAGAGTATTCTATAATACAAAAATATAAATATTAAAAAAAAAACATAAATAATTTAGTGGGTTATTAGTTAATATAACTAATAACCCACTTCGAATATTCATATCTCCAATATGGAGATATGAATATTCGAGTTCTGACTTTTAGTTTTTATTTTCTCAATAACTGATCCGTGATGTATAGTTCGAAATAATTTGGAGTGATTTTTAAACACATTTTCCCATATTAAACTCTTAATGAAATTCTTCTATGATATGCATTAACACAATATGATGTTACTGATTTTTCGTTAAAATTCAAAAGAAGAAATTACTGAGAGAAAAACAAAACAAATTACTCCGAACTAAACATCACAGATTACTCATTGAGAAAAATAGGTCAGATAAAGGCTAAAATATTCATATCTCCAATATTACAAAATATTATAAAATTGTTTAATAACCTGATATTGTAAAAAGGACTAAGTCCGTTAAATTTATAAATAAATTACTAATAACGTACTAAAGCATTTATATGTTTTTTTTAACGTTTTTATTTTTTTGTATTATAGAAAACTCTAAATAAAAAAATAATAATTAATACAATTTTTTTTGTAATTTTTTAATTAACTATATTTAGTTATGGTAAAAAAAAAAGAATAAAAATAAAAATACTATTTCATTAGCGCCTAGATAGCGTACCTGATTTTTTAAAGTCATAATATAGGTTGATGAATTTTGGGTTTAAATTTAATAAGTGTCGACGTTTGAATACCGAATGTATGTTTTAAGTGTGTAATTCTCAAAATTGAAATAATTATAGATATTTATAAAAAATAATAATAATAATAATAAAATAAAAGACAATTTCACTTATAAAAACATCATAATAATGTAATTTAAAAAAAATACTGTCTGGAGTAGTCTGAAAATGATTACAAAATAGTTGTATGTTAATTGAACTGATATTTAATAATAATAATAAAGACTGAACATGACTCAACTCTTATATTTTAAAGATTTTAACTATCATTAAAATAGTTTTAAATAACTAACATCGACTGAGCAATTTTTTATTAATTACATTACATATTATACAATGAGTGATTTATTCTATAACATTTACTATTTTCATTGAATATATAGTATACGGAAATACGTAAATTTCTATATAAATGAAGTTATTTTGATTTGTTCATTTTTGAAAAATATATGGCAGTTTTAAGAAAAAAAGTGAAAAAACTGTAAAAATTTACTGATTTTAAAAATCATAATTTTTTGAAGGATTTGCCCCTTTTACAGGGAACGAGGGTAAAATTTTTAATTTCTAAGAGCAGACATTGTTCAGCTAGATACGATTTGTGATCTTTTGGCGTATTGTTGAAAGAAATCAGTCCGGTGAGAGATGACAAAAAGCGACTACAGACACAAAGTACACATCATATTAAACTTAATACCTTCTCAGCTTCGTAATGAAGCTATAATTGTCCAATTGTTTAATAATAAAAACATAATCGGTGCTATTTACAACGTATATAGTACAAAGTATAATATACTTTCTATTTTTGGTAGTTAAAATTGATTCTTGCATACCTTTAATACACAATATATGAGAATAGAAAATGAGATTTGTGAGCACAATATTTCTCCAAAATAGATGTACTTGAAAAATTTTTTAAATTGGTCAAGTGCCCTAAAGTAAAAAAATATAAACCAAGAACAAATTTCTAATTAGAATATTTATAAATATATTTTAAAATGAAGTATTCAAATATACTAATTTCAATACAAACTTAGTAGCTACAACCAAATAATCACTGTAGGTAAGGAATTCCTCTAAAAAGAAAGAATTCCTGAAATGTGCTTTTTTTGCAGGAACAAAGCTAAGAGTTGTATCCTTTAAAATTTAAGGAATGAGGAACATAAAATTCGTTTTTATGAGGAACGTGGACGAAATTTACAGTTCCTATAAATATAGTGATTTCTAAATTTTTTTCTTGTTTCTAAGAGTTTATAATTTTATAACTTGAATATATATTGACATTAATACATTTTTCAAGGTGGATGATGATAGCCTGCTCGCGACCCATCCTGCGTACACAATGAAATAGATTAATAATTTTCATTTTTTATCAATGTCATCATCCTGGCACTGCACGGATTCCTGATTATCGCAGTTTATCAAATTTTCTATATACATGTTTATCACGAGTGACCCCGAAAACAGTCTTATTCAGGGCTACATGAATCGAGATTTTGGACTCATTTTGCGTGTGTTCCAACTCAACACTGACATATCTCACCATTCATATCTCTTTGTTGGCTATTTCAACAGCCATCATCAAGTATGGGGTTATTTCACAAGTGATATAAATTGCGAATTTCTCATGGACTGGATCACAATTAAAAATATCATCTGATATTTGATGCAAACGAAAGACGCACTTTTCACTCAGGAAGGTTGAATAAAGACTATAACCCAGATTTATGTATTTCATTAGCTGCATTAGCAGATGGCTTCCTACATGTTAAAAGAAAAGTTCTAGGAAATGTACCCCACAGTCAACACAGAGCTATGGTCTTTCACTGGGGTTTACGTATACCAGTAGAGAGAACAATCCAAAAACTTTGATGGAATCTTGTTAAAGCTAATGAGAAAGCATTTAGATTCAATCATAAAATGAAACCCTCCAAATAGTGAGTCATATAATCAATTCACAAAGGCTATTATAGCTGCTTTCATGATTACTGTGTATACATACGATGATAGTGTGTATACATTACAAACTTAGCATAAATACCATGATAAGAAATTAGATAAGGCAATTATTACTTATCACTCTCATTCAAAAGTATATTGAAAAGATAGCGTTTTCTTCTGTCCTTTTCTCAATATGTATTTCAATGTTTAATACCGTAAAATAGTACATGAAAATTCAAATATTCCCAAACTTCAAAACGCTACAGAATATTTACTACTGAATATTAATAAGATATTTTTTTACTA